AAAACATGCTCTGCAAAAGAAAATGTCAAAAGAAAAAAAAAATACAAGCCACAACTTGAAAGAGAATATTTGCAAAACACATACCTGATAAAGGACTTGCATCCAAAATACACAAAAAACTCTTAAAACTCAACAATTAAAAAAACCCTCAATTAATAAATGAGCAAACGATGTAAACAGACACAAAGAAGATATACAAATGGCAAAGACACATATGAAAAGATGCTCCACATTATATGTCATCAGGAACAACAAATTAAAACAACAATGCCACTACAAACCAATCTGAATGGATAAAATCCAAAAAACTGACAATATCAAATGCTTGTGAGGATATGGAGCAACAAGAACTTACGTTCGTTACTGCTGGGAATGCAAAATCTCAGCCACTTTGGAAGACAGCTTGGCAGTTTTGCTTTGTTTTTTTCATAAAGCTAAGCATAATCTTACCATACATTCACACTCCTAGGTATTTACCCAGCTGAGCTGGAAACTTATGTCTACACAAAAACCTTCACATAAATATTTATAAAAGCTTTATTCTTAATAACCAAAAACTTGAAACAACTAAGATGTCCTTTGATAGGTGAATGGATAAACTGTGATACCTTCATACAATGGGACTTTATTCAGTACTAAAAAGAAATGAGCCATGAACAGACATGAAGGAAACTTTAATGCACATTGATATGTTAAAGAAGCCAGTTTGAAAGACTATATGCTGTATGATTCCAATGATATGACAATCTGGAAAAGGCAAAACTACAGAGATAGTAGAAAGTCAACGATTGCCTGGAATTCTAGGGAAAGAGGGAGGGATGAATAAATGAAGCACAGGGGATTTTTAAGGTTATCAAACAATTGTTGTGAATGATATCACAGTGGTGGATAAGTGGTAATGTGCATTTGTCAAAACATGTAGAAATGTACAACATAAAGCTTGAATCTTGATGTAAGAAGATTCTGTAAGATAACTGAATAATTTGAGAGGTACTGGGAAAAACTACAGAAAGAATTTAATCATATTACAAATGTATGGAAAAACGTCACAGAATAGGGTGGAGGAAAAATTACCTAAGCAATTTTGGAAATGAATGGAATCTGTAAAAATAAGGCAAAAAGAGCTGCATGTAAGTACTATACCCTATTGATAAAGATATTATCTTTAATTGGTATTATCAGTTAAGAATTCTGATACTTGTTTGCATATGCAAACAATGAATCATGGAACACTACATCAAAAATTAATGATGTAATGTACAGTGATTAACATAACATAATAAAAAAAGATATTATTGTATATAAAATTTTATATCCTGCCTTTTCTCTTAGCATTTGACCACGAACATTTTCCCACTGAATAAAAGTCATTTCTAAAACATCATGAAAAAAAAAAGAATTCTGATACTGTTGTACATATACACTGGAATTGAACAATAAGTAAATGGATGGCAGATGGTCAGGTCAAGGTTACTCATAGTGGGGTGGGAATATACACATCGACAAGGAATGAGGCTGGAATGATCCATGCGGAAACAGATTACAGTTGCAGACAGTAGTAAGAACTCATGTTTAGCTGAATATATAGACAACTAGACATAGAAATATTTATAGATATGTATGTATACAGGCTAGTTCACACATATATTTCTTCGTTTTGTTAGGTAAGAGGCCCTAAAATAAATAATGCCTTACGAGCAAAGAGCACACCTTGTATCCAGATCTGGCTTTCTTTTCTTTTTTTTTTTTTTAATTTTATTTATTTATTTGACAGAGACAGAGGGAGAGATAGAGTACAAGCAGGATGAGAGGGCAGAGGGAGAAGCAGACTCCCTGCTGAGCAGGGAGCCCAATGCAGGACGCGATCCCAGGACCTGGGATCATGACCTGAGCCGAAGGCAGACGCTTAACTGATGGAGCCACCCAGGCGTCCCTCAGATCTGGCTTTCTAATACCATTCTCCACTAAAAGGAACCAGGGCTTCTTAGCCCTTCTTCTGATTCTCAAACCAGAGCATGAGATACACAACACGAGTCTGCAGCACCTTACAGTGCCAGAGAGTAAAAAGTGCTCAAGAAAAGTTACCCACCATCACTGTGGTATGTGCTATGGTGAGCGCTGTGAATTGTGTAAGACTGTTGAATCACAGACCTTTACCTCTGAAACAAATAATACATTATATGTTTAAAAAAAAAAAAAGAAGATAGTAGGAAGGGAAAAATGAAGGGGGGGGGAATCGGAGGGGGAGACGAACCATGAGAGACTGTGGACTCTGAAAAACAAACTGAGGGTTCTAGAGGAGAGGGGAGTGGGGGGATGGGTTAGCCTGGTGATGGGTATTAAAGAGGGTACGTCCTGAATGGAGCACTGGGTGTTATACGCAAACAATGAATCATGGAACACTACATCAAAGACTAATGATGTAATGTATGGTGACTAACATAACATAATAATAATAAAAAAAAAAGACACAGAAGTCAATAGAAAGAGCTTCCAGTGGCCAAAGCTGAAGCAATTTGAGCAACAAAATAAAGTAGAATTGGATTATAAGTCAAAGTATAAAATATCCATGCTGTCCATACTGATATAAATAAACGATTGAATAAATTAATAAATGATGGAGAAGAGATAAATCTCCCATGCAGAAGAATTCCAAATAAATTATGCAGAAACTCTACTCTAAAGGAGGGGGAACGTATCTCCCCACTCCTTAAACGTGGGTTGCACATAGCACCTTCCTTCCAAAGATTATGGTATGGAAACGGGGCAGGGAGTAACTTTACAGTGGAGTGCTCTGACAAATGCTGTATCAGCCAGGTGATCAAGGTCAACATCAAATTCATAAGTTATATAGAAAATATGTACCCTTGATATGATGTGACAAAAAGGTACTTTACCTCGTGATCTTCCTCCCCAAACCTACAACCCCAGGTTAGTCAAGAGAAAACCACCAGATAAATACCAATAGAGGGGCATTCTACAATACCTGAACAGTATTCCTCAAAACTTTCAAGGTTATCAGAAACAAAAACAGTGTGAGAAACTGTCACAGCCAAAGGCAACCCAAGGAGACAGACAACTAAATGGAACATGTTATCCTTGATGGCATCCTAGAACAGAAAAAGCACACTTGGGGAAGACTAATGAAATATGAATAAACTGTGGACTTTAGTTAATGATAACGTGTGATAATATAAAAGATACAAAATAATTTTAAAAGCATAAAATTAATCATGCAAAATGAACAGAATACGTAAAACAAAAGACAAGAAAGAAATGCATCATAAGGTTAAGAGTTGTTATATCAGAAAGCTACAAATTTAAGCAATTTTTACTTTCCTTTCAATTTCTATGGTTTTTTAAATGATTCTTAAATAAGAAGATAGTATTTTTAATATCAAGAAAAAAATCCAGCACATTAAAAAAATTGTCTAGGTCCTCCTCAAAACCCCATTTTTATCTCCACGTGTATGGAAATCAAAAGTCTTTGGCTGACTGGATTATCTCTAAAATTCTTTGCAACTGTAAGATCATGTGAATTACATAAATTATAAGTAAAACCCATGTCCCAGCTATGCATCTGGTAGGGACCTAGAAATATTTAATTACCATATGACTCCCAAATATACTGGTTAACATACATTTTGTGCCATATATGCTTGTAGTCTGCTAGTGTCCTAACAACAGACTAGAAATGAGCACAACCCAGTCTTACATAGCATAGATGCAGTATAATTGTGGTGTATGTCACTATTGTTTGTTTGTTTGTTTTAAATCTCCATCTGACTTTTAAATAGGAGGCATGTTCTTATGTGCAAGGTGGCATACAAACTTAGGAAGAATACAGGTTTAAGTAGGAGGTAGGAAACATCTGTAACATAAAGGGTGACTATCAGTTATGCATAAATTCTATAATGGGCATTAGTTGTTTGTTTGCTTGATTTATTTTTTTAAAGATTTTTATTTATTTATTTGAGAGAGAGAGAGAGCTCAGAGGGAGAGTGAGAGGGAGAAGCAGACTCCCTGCTGAGCAAAGAGCCCTATGCAGGGCTGGATCCCAGGACCCTGAGATCATGACCTGAGCCAAAGGCAGATGCTTCACCAACTGAGTCACCCAGGTGCCCCTGTTTCTTTGCCTTCATTTTTTTTTAATTTTATTATGTTAGTCACCATACAGTACATCATTAGTTTTTTATGTAGTGTTCCATGATTCATTGTTTTCGTATAACACCCAGTGCTCCATGCAGTACGTGCCCTCCTTAATACCCATCACTGGGTGAACCCATCCCCCCACCTCCCACCCCTTTAAAGCCCTCAGTTTGTTTCTCGGAGTCCATAGTCTCTCATGGTTCGTTTGCTTTCATTTTAACAGTATTTCATGTGCATATCACCCATAGGCTACTATCAGTAACTACTGAAGAGATTTAGAAGATGAAATCTTAAAAGAAAGGCATCCTGGAAGTTGAACAAAATGGGAACTTCAGCATGGCTAACGGAATTAGAGAATCAATAATTTTTAAATATAGAATAGGCCTAACCATATTAATTTTGGACTATACAAGAAATGGACTGAACTAAGGTAGAATATGCATTCATGTATAAATAAGGCTATATACAATTTAATCAAGTTGTAAAATGGCCTTGGGGGCAAAAACTGGAGATGAACAACTAGCCTGCAGATATCTGGGACGTAGGTGGTGCCTATTCTGGGCTCCACCGTCACATTCTATTCTTGAATCTTTAAGTTTTACTCAACCACAACTTACCCATGTGTGAAAATGAGGAAGACATCACAACAGAAATTAATGATTAAAAAATCGGGACAGACATATTGAAATGTTTCTGAAGAACAAAAAACAAAAAACCTATCCATCTTAAGCATTAGGTTTCCATTTTGTCCAATTTAGCTTTGAGTATAAGTCAAAAAACAACTATAAGTTAAAATCTGACTATTAAAATCAGGAGATGGCAAGCACTTTGTTTCCTTTTCTAGCCTTTACCTTCTGGCTCATTTTTGATGAGCTCCTCCATTTTCCTCTGCTTCAAGGTGTCAACAACATCAGCTAAGCTGCCTTTGCGCCGTTCGGGAGTTCCTAGGGCCGTGCTCGACAAGGACTCACCACTCTGCCTCCCACCTTCTTCTGCCTTCTGAGGTGAGGTAGATGAGTTGTGTGGGGCAAATGAAGACATAACTTTATTGCCATCAACTTCCTGAAAGAGAAAGCAAAGGGAAAAAAATTGTTTAAAATTCAGTGAGGTTTGGTTTTTTGTTTTGTTTTGTTTTGTTTTAAATTGCTTATGTGGCTTATTTAGCTAAAACATGAAAAAGTGAAATGTCACTCTGCAAGAGTAAGATAAATAAAGAAATTTTTTAAAAAAAGAATGCATTAACTTTACAGGCTGGCACAGAGTGAGTCAAAGATCAATTTAGAGAAGAAATAAAAATATGGGGGCTCTCTCCCATAGACTGAGAACAAATGGCAATAAACCTTATACAAAGCCTACATCGATCAGATGTAGTTTTCTGCTTTTCTTTGAAAGTCTTAGATTTTCCTATGGACATTAACTGCACCAGTCATCTGGCTTAATCTTCCTCATGATACTGTAATATTTAAACAAGTAACATTATGCACTTTACTTTTCGTTTTAAATAGCTGCCTCTTCTTGATGGTTGCTCCTAATTAAAGCAGGGTCCGGTTTTTAGTTCTCCACTTCCCTCTCATGCTTTTAAGAAAGCATCAGCCACACAGGTTATTTTGACATCAGATAGGAATATTGAAAGCTTATTTCTGCTGATGCCAAAGTTATTTCCAATTCCATTTGTTACCCCAAGCATTGTTTCTGTCAATATTCTTCCAGATTTTGTACTTTAAGCCCCACATGCCCTATAAAATAAAGTTCCTTGCAATCTTTCCCCCTTGATAATTGCATATGTGTATGAAAAGAATTTATTCTATAATTCTAAAATTTAAACACACATTTGGTGTTCTTTTGTCATTATTTTCCCCATAATTTCCTGACCAACTCTAGCCATCTAATATTTGGGGTATCTTTTGTATAAAAGGCACTAAATTGATTTTTTCAGACATCTGTGAGAGGAATGATACTGAAATTATTAAAAAAATAATTTTCTTACTTAAAGGTTTTCTTTTTATAATCTCTTACTTCTATAATCCTTTGACTTCCCACAAAGCAGATTTCTTCTTAAAAATACAATTGTATCCTAGGTGCCTGGGTGGCTCAGTCGATTAAGCACCTGCCTTTGGCTCAGGTCATGATCCCGGGGTCCTGGGATCGAATCCCGTATCAGGCACCCTGCTCAGCAGGGAGCCTGCTTCTCCCTCTGTCCCCCCCCCCCGCCCCCTCTTGTGTTCTTCCTCTCTCTCTCACAAAAAAATAAATAAAACCTTAAAAAAATAAATAAAATTGTATCCTAAGATCTTTGAGGAAGTTAGTCTCTCTGTAAGTATATTTCTTAATTCTATAGTATTAAAAGTTTCCATTAAAATACATTTGAATGTATGCACATCTAATATTCAGGATAATAGGTTATATCCCTGTTTAAACATTTCTTCTCTAAGATGTGTTAATAGGATCTCCCTGGCCCCAGAAAAGTGACGGATCACACTGATTTGATATCTAATGTTTTTAAGATTATTTCTAATATATATTTTTTTAGATTTTTATTTTTATTTATTTGAGAGAGAGAGAATGAAAGACAGAGAGCATGAGAGGGAGGAGGGTCAGAGGGAGAAGCAGACTCCCTGCCAAGCAGGGAGCCCGATGCGGGACTCGATCCCGGGACTCCAGGATCATGACCTGAGCCGAAGGCAGTCGCTCAACCAACTGAGCCACCCAGGCGCCCCTCTAATATATTTGACTAGTTTAAAAATATACTAAAAAGACTTGATGAAGCTGTCATTTTAATTTTTAAAAACAGATTAAAAATAGAGATGTCAACGCAAACATGATCATAATCTGTTCATATGATTTTTTGTTAGTGGATAATAGTGAATACAAGAACATTAGCTACAGTGCAAGTGTCAGTTTGTTGGGTGGTGCTAGGTAATGCAGAAAAAGTCAAAGTAAAACATGTGTGCAAACAGAATCTCCAAAATTATAATTCTACACCGAAAATGGTTTCCATTTCTTACAAACATTACAGAATATGCAGAAAACATTACTATGTTTTGAATGAATATTCTATAGACAATACATTCAAAGATGAATCTTAGCTTATTAGGTACTTGGATTTGGAAATCAATATGCATAATGTAATCATTACAAACCCCTGCAGGCTAAGTGAAGGTACACTTCTAGAATTATTTATTTAAAATCCATACATAAATACAAGCAAACCCATAAACACACACACATCCCTGACGAGAGCAATTACAAATCCATTCAGTAAACTAAGGAATGTTTTTATGAATGGCCCATAATACTCATTAGCTCAGTTTCATGTTCAAAACAGAATATAGCAAAACCTCTGTATTTTTTCCACAGATCTTTCTTCTCACTATTTCCAGGGTCAAAGCAGAAAAACCCAATGTTGAACATTTCTATTCTATACTCTGTTTTCACATTATATGATGACAAACTTAACAAACAAGAATTTGGCAGCTGAACTTCATTTTCCATAATTAAAAATCACACGTATCTTTCTATAGCAACTTCAGTAGAGGGAAGGACACCCAAATTGTATACAATCACATCTATTAAAAATCAGAAAATATTTCAAATCAAGTAAGATAAAATAACATCCCATCTTGTATGTCTCTAATTTTCTACACCTTGCAAAAGACAAAGACATATTTTAAAGAGTTTAACATCATTTCACAAGTATTCTAAACTCAGTTACCACACCTAGTATTAAAAATTATCACTGCAATTTCATGCACAAATATTTTATCTTATTGCTATTTCACCTGTCTGATTACATTTCAGCCTCTAGCACTGTTAATCCCTTTAACAGTTTTATGTAGTTAACAGATATTTCAGTGTGGGACATCATTGTTCATTTGCATGGTGAAGAGCTTGTTAAAGAACTCTGGCACAGTCTTCAGTGAAGAAAGTCCTATAGTTTTCAGTTTCTTCCCTGGGATTGCATTTACCATGTCTAAAATAATGACTGCATTTTCTTCTTCACCTTGCTGGTAGGTGAACATCCAGAGAATCTACTAACAGAAGTATTGGTGGTCCAAGCCAGCAAAATATATTTCATCAAGTTTTGTGAATGCTAAAGGAAAGCTTCAGTATTTTGCCATAGAGCTCTCACAACTATGATATTTGATTTCTAAGGTCTAATGATAAAAGAGGGTCCTAAATTTTTAGAACAAAGTTGGTAATCTTCCTTTGTTACACTTGAAAAAGCTTTACTTAATCCTGCCCCCCTTTGTCACTTTTGCAACCTTAAGACAAAGGAAGGGATCTGCCTAGTGTATCTATCTTTATTTAAGTAACTTTTTAAAAAATGCATTCTTAAACTGGGAGAAGCCACTCTGAAAACAGTATGCAGTTTCCTCAAAAAGTTAAAAATAGAACTACCCTATGACTCAGCAATTGCACTACCAAGTATTTACCCAAAGGATACAAAAAATACTGAGTCAACTTGGCACATGTTTACAGCAGCATTATCAACAATGGCCAAACTATGGAACTATGGAAAGAGCCCAAATGTCCATCAACTAATGAATGGATAAAAAAGATGTGGTAGATGTATACAATGGAATATTACTTAGTCATCAAAAAGAATGAAATCTTGCCATTTGCAATGAAGTGGATGGAGCTAGAGTATATTATGCTAAGCAAAATAAGTCAGTCTCAGAAAGACAAATACCATATGATTTCACTGATATGTGGAATTTAAGAAATGAAATAGATGAACATGGTGGAAAAAAAAGAGAAAGGCAAACAAATTCTCTACTATAGAGAACAAACTAAGGGTTGCTGAGGGGAGGTGGGGGGGATGGGTTAAATAGGTGATGGGTATTAGGAGTGCACTTGTGATAAACAGTGTTATATATAAATGATGAATCATTAAATTCTACTCCTGAAACTACTATTACACTATATGTTAACTAACTAGAATTTAAATAAAAAATTGAAACAAAAAAATGCATTCTTGTTAATTCGTTCTAAATATAGCACTTGGCTATGAACACTTTGAAAGACATATTTCAACATTAATATTCAAATTTTAGTTTAGATAATGTGGTGATTAAGAAGAATTAATTCATTTGAAAAAAGAGGTTATATGTGACTCAACCAGATATATATTCATTGTCCAAATGACATTTTATCCTTGACTTCTGGCCTCAAGAAATACATTACCATATTTGCTTTTCAGGCCTATAAACTCAAGTTAAATTAATACAGGGTAGCAAGAACATTACATTTAATAGTCTGTCTATCCAACTATAATTGGTAAGAATAATAGCCAATATTTACTGAATATTTACTTTGTGTCAGGCACTGTTTAAAGTGTGTTATATGCATTAATTCAGTTAATTCTCCTGGCAAGCCTAATTATGATTTGCACTTCGTAGCTGGAGAAACTGAGGGACATGGAGTGAAGTAAATGCCTGAGATTGTATGATTAATAAAAGATAGAGTAGATAATCAACCGCAACCTGTTGGGCACCAGAGCCCTCAACCATAGTGCTAATACCACCTCTCTTTAAAAAACAACAACAACAGGGGATGCCTGGGTGTCTCAGTTGTTAAGAGTCTGCCTTCTGCTCAGGTCATGATCCCAGGGTCCTGGGATCGAGACCTGTATCAGGCTCCCCACTAAGCAGGGAGTCTGCTTTTCCCTCTCCCTCTGCCTCTCCCCCCGCTTGTGGTCTCTCTCTCTCTCTCTCTCAAATAAATAAATAAAATCTTTAACAACAACAACAAATACCTAAGTATGTCAATGTTATAGGTGAACAAGATACACTATCATCTGCTTAATAATTATGAAAATGAGAGGGTTTTGCCCCAATATGTCCAACTCCTATAAGTGCATTGAAATGAACTAATCCAACTATATTCTAGACTTATACAGCTGTCTCCGTCTAAATATCCACTGGTGGGGCCCCTGGGTGGCTCAGTTGTTTAAGCGCTGCCTTCAACTCAGGTCATGATCCCAGGGTCCTGGGATTGAGCCCTGCATCGGGCTCCCTGCTCGTCAGGGAGCTTGCTTCTCTCTCCCCCTCTGCCTGCCACTC